CACAAGAAAATAACGAAAGAATGCTGATAAAGCAATACTCCGAGATGACAATGATGTAAAGTCCCGAACAAGGATAGAAATTCAATTAAATATAGGAAAAACATTAAATACCACGTTTTTGACATGTGAAAAATGCTACATTTTTATGTTGTAGTTAGAAGTGATAGCCTTAAAAGAATATTTATCAACTTTGTCTCAAACAAAAAAGAACTTTATGTCCTCATCTTGCAAATAAAAAAAAACTATTAGATTAAGCTGGTTAAGGCCTCCCCCTCTCAAAAAAAAGTTACTTTTCGTCAGAATGATCGAAATTAAGATAAATACAGGAGAAGATAGCCCGTGGTCTGATCTCTCATAAACGACAAAAATTTTTACTCAGCACCTCGTTTTTTCCAAAAATTTTTGAAGATTTTCGTCATCCCCTATTCGAAAAATAAGCTGTTTTTTTGGAAAAAACCGAAAATCTTTTTCGTTTTTTCTCAGTTCATGATATGTCAAACGCGCAATCCAAATTTCTCAGTCCAGGTCTATGTGATGTATTTAAATTTTTCTTTTTGTTTGAAAGAGCATGTCCAAGATGCAGTGCATGGTAGAATCCTTTTTTTCAATTAAGCTTTGTTTTTATTATACATATAGACACTTATATAATTAGAGCGCCATTTTTTGAGTCATTGAACTTGTGATCCCTTTTCTGCACTTAAAAAGTAAGAATTTAAAAAAAGTGCTCTATCATGCACTCCATCTTGACATGGTCTTTCCAACAAAAAAAAAATAAATATATAGAATGAGACTGGACAGAAAAATTTGGGATGCCAAATCAGATATTTTTGACCCTTGTTTGGCCATTATCTTCCTCGAACGTCATGGTACAGGGCTGACAATTTTACCATAGCTTCTTCACTCCAGGCCCAACATATCCTGAAAATTTCATGCGATTTGAACATATCTGGGCTGAGATCGATTTTTGAGGGGGGGGAAGGCCTTAAGTAATGGAGTTATACGCAGTTCTTAAGTGGACACGACTTTTGGGACACCCTGTATTTTCCTATATTTTAGGTTTGTAAGTAGAACTTGGTCTTTACAAGAAGATGATTCGTACATTTAGAGGATTAAATCTATCAAAATAACTGCAAAAATGTGATGTTTTCGATTTGCCTGCAGTTTTTGATTGAATTGATGTTATTTTTTTATTGATAGCTGACAGAAAATCAAGAAAAATAAAGTGTTTACTCTCTTGATGTTTTTCGGTACTTGAACTGATGTCATTTGAAAATTTTCTTCCTCAAACATTCATATATATATATGTTCTACAAATTTTGAAAGTTACAGCAAACATTAGATGATCACACCTAGAATATTTGAGCAAATTTCAAATTTCAATAAAACCGTTTGTAACAATTTTCTATAGATGTTTTTCTCGTTATTTTTATTTCGATAGAAAAAAATCTTTTCGAACAACATGTTTTCAGTTTTGTAAAGAATTCAATTCTCTATTGAGTGAGACCTGAACCAAAATTTAAAATAGTTATGAAAGATCTCAAAAATAGAAAATGAAAGTCGGCCATTGGATATATGATACCAGTTTTAATTAAAACAAATGTTTTTTGTTCCTAAACACCTATGCAGAGGTCATCGTACTTCATAATCTAAAAGACATTATAATTCACTGTCAAAAAACTAATTTGTATACATCACTTGACTATATTCAACACATTAGTCATGAATATGAAATAATTTATTTCAAATATCTCTTAGGTTATTTCTATATTTACTTTATTCCCTAAATATTATCTCCAAGATTCAACAAGATAAATAATTGTTTTTTTTTATTCTAAAATAGCAATATTAGGTTCAACAATACTATTATCTAACTGAAATAAGAATTTTCTAGTTTACCAATTATAACCATTTTAATTATATTAGCTTGAAAAGCTCCTCAAGAGTTTATCAATCATTAACATAATTGTTTGGAATGTTTGTCTTTCATGATTGATGTTTTATTCTGACAGATAATAAGAAGATCCGTGAAATCTAAATTTTGATGAAAAGTTTAAGTGTACGAATAAATATATTGAAAGCAAACTTTTTCTTTTTTTCGGCAACAGAAACATTATTTTCTTGACACCTTCTGACAAGTCTGAACATTCGGTAGAGTTTAGGTTTTCTATTATATACGAGAAATGAAATATTTTGGTATAATAATACTGATCATCTGCCTATTTTATTCTTTTGCTTTTATCACTTTACTGTATAAAAGTGAATATATATTATATAGATAGACGACTATTCATCATTAAGAACAGTTAAAATGATGTTGAAATAATTTTTTTCTGATATATTAAATTTTTAACTTTTACAATAGTTACTTGAGAAAAAAAAACTAATTTGATGTGATCTTTTCAAAGCAGAATGTATTTGAAATTAAAACGTTAACAAAAAGACAACAAGGTAAGTTAATAAAGTAAAGTATGTTGACTTATGATTTTCAGAAATACTGATTTTTCATGTGAAAAAATTTTCTATTCTTATGTAAGAATCGCCTAGGGCTTCATCTTTTTTCTAGTTGTTGCAGTGAAAAGCATTGGAGTTAAGTAGTTCTTCACGAATCTTCTCTCTTTCTTTTTTCTCTATCTTAGTATATATTCAAAGCTGTCATTTTCTGTCGCGATGATCTCGAGAACAGAAATGGTACGTGACGGTATCAAGACTAAATCGATTCTATATTTTTCCGATCTTTTAGAGAATGTTCTGTTCACTGACGAATAGCACCCTAAAAAGATGAAGTCTTGAAGATTTGTTGCTTTTTCCCGTTTTAAGATAATTAAAAGAAAAATATTGAAACTCGCTCTTTCTTGTCGCAATTACTTTAAGAACGAAACGTTAGAAAAAGTTGGTTGAACTGCGAGATCAATACATCGAGATCGAACTAACAACATCCTTTGTCTGATCTTCTACAGAAAGTTCCTTTTCTTGACTTCATCCAAAGATGCTAGAAGGTCAATATAGATTTTTTCTTCAGACGAGAATACCTACGCATAGAAAACAAATTTCGTGTCGTGGAACCCCTCTCTTGATAGCTCAACGCTGTTCCTATCATTAAAAAAAACCGATCTAAACAGATTTAGTTTGCCTAATTTATACAGTAATCTTTATATCAAAGATGATGGGAATCGTCGAAAAGTGAATGATATACCTGACCGATTTTAACTATTAGTCTTGAAATTTTCACCAGTGCGTGTCCTACTCTAATCAAGTTTTTTCTCAAAGTTTCACGATCGCAGCCATCGATGGATAAAAGATCCATGCTAAAACTAGTTCAAATAATTAATGCGCTATCATTACTCAAGATTACAGCGGATTGAAGTACTCGATACGTGCCACAATATAGATGTGTGAATCTTTATTAGTTAACAACAGAACGAAAATTAACGCATTCAAACAGTGGAAAATTAGAAGTCTAAAAAAGCCTTTTGTGAGTCCTTGGAAAACAAGCACTGTTTTCATCGTCAGTTCTTTTCATTAAGGCCTATCAATTTCGGATTGCCGCTTGCGATTATGGTTTACTGAGCTCTGTTTGTAGTGAGAATATCAGACAAAAGAATTGAAGTTTTTATACTTTTTACACGATAGTAGAACTTCTTGTGACTATTGCATGTAGTCTTTCGCAAGTTTCTTTTTCTTTAAATATGGTGCGGAATACAACATTTATGTAGTCCTTCGAGAGTTTTCTTTGTTTTCTCGATGCACGTATAAAGAGCTGTCACTTTGTCTCTCAATAGTCTCGAGAACAGCAATTCAGAACAATACTTGCTGAAACACGATAGACAAACATTGAGGTCGAAACAACACCATTGCTTTTTCAATCCTTCCATGAGCATTCTGTCTGCTTACGAATATTATTTCAAAAGGACAAATTTTTGAAGACCTAGGATCTATTTAAGTTTCAAACTAATCAAAACGATGACAGCAACAAAATTTAACTACTACTCTTCTCTTTGTTTATAGCTAAGACAAGTATAAATACAGCTGATGATAGACAATGAATCAGAAAGATAATCAAGGTATTAATCGACAGTATTCATTAGAAACATATTGATATCGATTGATAGAGTTCTCTCAATAATGAATTTTAGAATGAATACTTTTCACTGTCAGTGTGACTTTGATCAACAGGTTAAAAGAAACGTAACTTTTCCGATCTATAACGACGAAGTACTTTGTATCGTATTTCGAAATCGTGTGAAACTCGAATGTCATCTAGTTTATTTAATTTTCGAAATCATTGATGAAAGTTCCTATGAGAAATCTAAAATAGATTAATTTGATAGTAAACAACTACAGATAAAAAATGCTTGTTAAGATTAAAGCTATTAATGCGTCAGAGCATTATAACAGGTGATGAAAGTTTTCATGTCTGTCTTTTCCAAAACAATTTTTAATCAATGATGAAATTAATTATAGTAAAGTTAGATCACATCTCGTCTAGAAAATGTTATAACCATCTCAAAGATATCTTCTCTGACTATAATATCAAGTACTCTCATTAGAGTTGTCTGTTTTGCGCTACAGAACGTGCATTAAGTACGATTAATACTTTACAAACCGACATAGGCAGAGTTAGAATCTTTTTATTCAAAATACAAAAAGAAATTCATCGTATTTTACATTGAGATTTTTCTCAAGTTTATATTGAAAGATTTTTATTAAGAACGCTCATCACACATTTGCTATAAGGAATATTCATAATATGAATAATAGATCAATGATTGTATTGTCAGAGAACATTTTTCTTTTGCGATTTTTTATTTTCTTAAACAATAGAAAAAGAATCGTTTTTGCTAATATCCTTAATTATAATTCATAGTAGCATCTAAGTCTCAAACATATATGAGAGAATATTGAAAGAAAAGCAAAACAAGAAAACATGAGAACTGAACTTTCGATATATGTCTTCATCGTTTGTATTTTTTGCAGAAAAGAGAACACATAAAACATAAGAAATGTTATCATCATATCAAACAAATTCATCATTAATAGCAGTTACGAAAGTCTTGATATTTTATGGTTATCCATTTATGTTAATTTTTGGCAATATTGGTAACGCTCTCAATGTAGTGCTTTTTCTTCGAAAGAATTTACGGACAACATCCTGCAATAATTGTAAGTAACAGAAGGATGTTTAAAACAAATGAAATGATTATTTTTTTTTTTATTCTAGATTTTTTAGTTTCAGCATTTTCTAATGCAATTGCACTGAATGTTGCCATTATGCCATTACTCTACATGGAAAGTCATCATATCGAAGAAACAATACTATTTTGCAAGTTCCAAGGTTATGTAATAAATGCTGCTCTCCAAATATCTCGCTATTTAATTATCATGGCATCGTTTGATCGATTTGCTCTCTGCTCAACAAATGCTTATCTTCGAAAATTTTCTACTGTACGTATTGCTCGTCGATATGTCATTCCTTCTATTATTGTTATTTGGCTTATTATACCTTTTCATATACCGGTTTGGATAACTTTTCAAGACAATGTGTGTGAATTCACCGGATTGATAGCACATTATGAACTTATTTATAGTATTATTATGATTGGCATAATACCACCTGGTCTAATGTTTCTTTTTTCTCTATTAATATTTCGTAATCTTAGATTACGACAACGACGTCGACAAATTCATCCATTTATTGTTGGTAATTTGATTCAACCAATTAATGAAACTCGACATGCACGAATAAAAGATCAACATGTGTTAGGAATGTTACTTGTACAAGTTTTTGCTTATGTTGTTTCAAGTACTCCATATACAATATCTATGTTTTATGTTGTTTTAACTAACAATTATGATATTAATGCATTACTTGAACATGAATCACGTATAATATTCGTTGTATATATAGCAAATATGTTTCGTTTTATTTGTCCATTTATTTCATTCTATTTATTTTTACTTGCTTCAAAATTATATCGCAGAGAAATGTTATTAATAATATTACATATTTATCGTCGATGCATTGTATTATGGGGAAAACTGAGGGCAATCTTTATCCTCATCATCATACTGAAGATTTGACGCGACATCTCAGCACAGTTAGACAAATTAATCATCGACAACTGCCAAACCAAGCGATCAATAAGACTTAATGTATCGGTCAAGTAATTGTTTAATCAAAAAACTTAACCAATGAATGTATCATACTATACAAAAATTTCTTTTTTTTTTTTGTCAGACAACTTGACATCTCTTATAGGAAATTTGAAATCATAGCAAATAAAAACTTGGCACTTTGACATTTCTTTTGTAATCGAACAATTGCAGATTTCCTGCTTGATCAAATAATGTTGAACACAGTTATCGAATATGTCAAAAGTTCTAATTACAATGCATATAGATATTATTTATATTCACTGCAGCATTATAATAAGTTTTGAATGCAGAAGTGTTATCATTATTGTTCCAATACTTGCTTGATACCAAAGGCGCATGCCATGAATAGATTTTAATTAATAAAATTTACCTTGATTGAAAAAGCTCTTATCTTTTATAGAGAGCTCTTGTGCACATCTGTCGTTTTCGTAAATGACAAAAGAAAGAAAAATCTTGCTTCAACTAATTCAAATTAATATTCTTATGTATTTGTGATAAGATGAGTGTTGTATTTTTATTTTTTCAAAATTGATCTTCTATTATGAAACAGAAAGAAAAAGAGATTTAAACTGAAAATTAATTAAGATAGTATTTTTAGAACATTTGAAGTCAGAAAACATAAAATATCTTGGGATAAAAATGAAAAGTAAAAGTACTTAAACAAGATACGATATTATATTTGCACTTTTTAAGTACTTTCTCTCATTTGAAATATTTGTTTTATTGTACGAAAAACAAATATGACTAAAATATTCAAACTAATTGTTCAATCAGAATTTTACGAGAGTATTATATCAGTCCGACACATGTTTAATCTTTTGAGACACACTTTCTTTTTCGTAATATGACATGCTTGATATAGGACCTTGCATTCGCATTTTGTTACTAAGATGGTCGTAAAATGTCGAAATAATGAATAAAGTTGTTGTTCGCTAATGTAAAAGTAAACGTAACGGATTATCATAGTTATTCTTTATATTAAATATTTGATCATAAGATGAAAATAACATCAGTACTCATAGTGTATATCTTTCAATTTTATGTCATTTTTTTTATATAGAAAATATAATTGCATATTGAGAATGTGGATGAACTTCCTAGCTTATTCGCCAAAATAAAAATTTGGTCATTGTGTATTCTAAAAAGTTCACTTTCGTCCTTCGAATTTATATCACACAACTGTTTTAATGATCATATTTTAGTTAAATACCAAAATATCCTTTTTAAATTCAACTTAATATATTTTAATGATAAGTACACTAGTTATGATTAAATAGGTACTAATATATATATGGGTAAATCCATGGAATTTTTACCACTTGCTGGAAGAAGGGTATTATATACCAATATTTTGAAAGAAAATTTTTTTTTTTTTATTTTGATTATCTAATTAGACGTAACATCGTCAAAAACGATCTGAGGTAACAATTAAAATCTTTTTGGACATATAAAGTGTAAAGAACCACATCATTTTTTTACGAACACTCTACACAGATAAGGGTGAATCCGCGGGGTTTCTACCTCTTTGTGAAAAAAGTTTTTTTTTAAATTTTGATATTCTAGTTAGGCGTATCATCGTCGAAAACGGTCGGAAGTAATAATAAAAATCTTTTTCGGTCTAAAAGGTTGGGAGATGCAGATCAATTTTTAGGAACAACTCAATGTATCTATCGTTGGATAATCTATGGGATTTCAATCATGTTGCGTATTGATGAAATTTTCAGCGTTTGTAGAGCGTTTAATTCCGAGCATATTGATTAAAAAAAATTTCCAAAAAACTTTTGTATTATTGAAAATAGGCTCAAAATACTATAAGCAGTAAAAAACTAAAAACTCTCAAAAAATGATTTTTGCACAATTTTGACCAATTGTTTGTAATAGTTTGCTCCGTTACATAGTATTTTGAGTCTATTCCCAACAATACAAAAGCTTTTTGGAAATTTCTTTTAATCAAAATGCTCGGAATTAAACGCTCTACAAACGCTGAGAACTTCATCAATACACAACATGATTGAGATCTCATAGATTATTTAACGATAGATACATTGAGTTGTTCCTAAAAATTGACCTGCATCTCCCAACTTTTTATACCGAAAAAAGGTTTTTTATTATTACTTTCGACCGTTTTCGACAATGATACGTCTAACTAGCATATCAAAATCGAAAAACAAAACTTTTCCACAAAAGTGGTAGAAACCCCACGGATTTACCCATAGACGGTCTTCTAGAATAACTCATGATAAATTGTTAATCATATTTTTTATACTTTGTCTAGCTATAGAGAGCTGAAATTTTTATCACATAGATATCTGATCGAGATCTTTTTTTTCTGCAAGCTTCAGCTCTCTAACTAAAGTTAGGGATGAAATACATAAATATTCGTGCTCGACTATTGCAGTGGTTTCACAGTAAAAATATGCAAAAATTAAGTACGAAAATTTATGTTTTTCTTTTAGTCTTGTCGATGTATGTCACTATTAATTTCAGATAGAAGGTTGAAACTTTCAGAAATAAAAGATCTTGAATCAGATATATATGTGATAAAAATTTCAACTTTCTGCATGAAGCAAAAGTATAAAAAGTATTATTAGCAATATATTCTAAGTTATTATGGAACATCCTTTATATTCCTTGAATTGTCCCTAAAAAATGACCCGGATCTTCATCCTTTTTATATCAAAACAGATTTTGATTGTTACCTCAGATCGTTTTTGACCATGTTACATCTAACTAGACGATTGAAACTAAAAAAAAACAATTTTTTTCCAGAAAACTGATAGAAACCCTACAGAGTCATTCATATTTTCTTCTTGTGTCAAAAAATACATATAAATATTAAATTTTTGCCGTGAAAAATACTATAGAACAAAATTGAATAAATTCAAGAGTAATTAAAGCAAAATTTAGTTCTTTTCTTAGAAGAAAAAAAATGACTATTGCAGACTTAATATAATTTGCATGGCAATCAAATCGTAATTTTCCAATTGGACTCACAAGGTTACTTGTCTGAAGAATCCAAAAAGAATTAAATAACATGTGTTACGGAAGTCTTTGTTCCAATGTCAGACGCAATTAAGTTATGTCGCTGACTTCGAATTTAAGTAATACATTTATCTTTTAAAATGAATCAATTCTTATCTGTAAATTTTTATATAAGACATATTATTAAATTTTACATGCACTCTTGACAGTGTAATTAACAGCAAAGGTGAAAAAAATGAAGTTATTGTTAAATAAATATTTTCGTAAGAATAGTCTATTTGAAAAAATATCAGTTACCATCGTTCTAAATCATGCATTGATTCAATTCTCTGTTTTTATGGCGTTATTTATTTTGAATATGATGTGAGATCTTAGAAGGTAAATAGAAATTACGTTTCATTTACAAAAGATAATATTTTGCTATCAAGATAAAAAAGGATATGTTTTAGAATGCTTTTTGCACTATTAAAGAAAAAGTAATAAAAATAGAGGATGATGTTGTTGTAAGATGAAATTAGAAGAATGCTTTTAGAGACATTTTCTTCGATTGCTCTTCTTTTGCATATTTTGTCGTAAAAAAAAAGGTTTGTTACAAAGCTTAAAGTTCAAACATTACTCTTTTCAATAATAAACAATTGTTTCAAATGTAACTTAGCAACATTCTTTAACCATATTTGACATTATGTCAAGAACTTTACATCACATGCCATAAGTACAAAATGACCAAAAAATAAGGAAATACAGAACTTTTGTCTCTTTCGTTCTTGTAGACGATCAGTTAGGCCTCATATTGACATCACAGATATCAGATGATACTATTAAAAGATGTAGCATATAATTAGTTTCTGAATGCAGTAATTTGTTTAAAAGCGTACGAAAAAATCCTATTGCTTGATTGTTGTGACTGTAAGAGGAGTGCGATGTTTTTCTAGCTTTATATTTTTGCCTGCTTATCTCGATCTATGAAATGAATCCAATTTAATTACTTTTTGTATTGATTTAGCCTAAAAGAAGTCAAAATTAGTTAAAGCGGTTTCATGTCACAGAACGAGATAAACAGTAACAAATATAGAACTCGAAAAGCATCGAATTTCGCTTACAATCACAGAAGAATAATAAGATGCATTCGTATGGTTTTGAACAATTTACTATATTCAAAGACTGATCATATGCTACGTCTTTTACTAGTATGATCTAGTATATGTGGTGTAAAAATGGTGACTGACTGACTGTATGCAACGAAAAAGTCGAAAAAACTCTCTATTCCCTTACTTTTAGGCAATCCCGTATTTATCATCGGAAATAGATAATTACACACCGTGCTTTAGATGTATTATCACTAAAAATACATATTTTTAAAAACATAACTACAAATGTTGAAAGTGCTAAGTGTTTTCTATCACTTTGTAAATTTATTTTTTAGTTTATATTTCGGTGCAAGAAAACAAATCAAGTGCAATGAAAGCACGTTATTCATTACATAAAAGTGATATCAGCAATCGACTGATCTACCGATATTTTACCAGTTTTACTACTCTGGTATTGATCTAACGGTTTACTATCGATCTACCTGTTCTATTTTCCTGTTTTTCTTATCGAGACTCGAGCTACGTTCCTGTTGATCCTAATTGATGCTGCACACTGAATACATAATGAAATTTCGTTAGAATTTGACGAAAATAAATTATACAAAAAAAAAAAGTTTGAGGATGTTTCGTATAAACAACTCTATAATTTTTGTGGTATAATATTGTACTATAGCTAAAAATTGTAACAGCGGGTCGATACTGGTGCAGATTTTCAGCAGACCATCTCTAGAAGAATATAAAGTCTGTTAATTAAAAAATCATTGTCTTCATATGCAAACTGACTAAACAGAAACAGATACGAAAATCAGTACTACCACAGTAAACAATAAAACTAGTTCTAATTCTGAAGTTTGA